TAAGCGTTATAAAAAAAATGGTTCAGGACTTTGTGTCTCAGTTTTTGGTAAGAAATAACGCTATGTACTTAGTGGGCGGTCATTGCGGGTCACCTTGTATATGCGAAATATTAAATTATATAAGTATTTTAGGTAAATATGCATATTAGGTTACACCTCATCGATGACTTTGACCTTGACATATGTTGTCAAGGACATGACCCTGAGTAACTTTTCCTTATAACTTAACCGGCGGTCTCTTATAGTTTCTGAGATATTTAAAGTTATGATTTCACAATTTTAATGATTTTTCTATTATAAAATAAAGAAAAATAAAGGTTGTTTACATTGTATTTACGTAGATCAGACGTGGAAAAAGTGTTTCTTTACATTTCCAGAGACGAAACTCTTTGGATTTTTTTACTTTCCACGCAAAGCGAGGTTCAACGCAAACCTATGTGTCTAGTTTTTTTATAGTGGAGCCCACTGCGTCCACGCATATACTTTCCCATCCAAAAACCTGAAAAACGCCTACCAGCGTAGCCTAGCGGCGTATCAGTGAACCTGGAAAAATGCCTAGCAGCGTAACCTAGCGGCGTATCAGTGAACTTGGACAAGCATGGCGTCTTGAAAAATGACACATTTTGGGCTGAGAAATTCATATGAAATATCGAAATCTGTACATCAAGTGCATCTATCAGTTTGATATTATCCAACATTTTGATATTATTATAATCGCAAGAATCCATGTTCTCAGTTGATATGTTCATCTCTCGAAAAGATGGTCCGGCTTACGAGATATTTCGAATTCATTTTCTAAAATTTTCAAAAAACATCTTCACTCCGTGTAAATGATACGCAATAGCGTCTGTTACAGTAAAACAAAAAGACGGCGAAAGATATACTTAGCGAGACGCTACCGCGTCTCTTGATAAAAAGAATTTGTTGAGATGTCTGTGGAATTGAACTTGAGTCTACTGCGTGATAGACTAAACACCCTTGCACCAATAATAAGCCATTACATATTTCTCGTAAATTCTTTCATGTTCTCAGTATTTATGAAGCAGTTCTTACACGATAACATCGATAAAATCGAAAAGAAATCAAGGTAGCATTTGTCGGTCTATAAATCTGCAATTGCTGAAAAATAATGTCAGGCAAAAATTAACAATTGAAGAAATATAATATAATTATTAGTCTATAAAACTGCATTTACAACTGTTAAAAGATAATGTCAAACAAGAATTGACAATCGTGTTCTTTTTCTCTATCCCGCTGATATGATACACGAAGTATCGATAGTAAAACAAATAAAGCAACAAATCACCAAGTCTAACACGCACCCGTGTCTTACATATTGTGTATTTGTTCACTCTGTTATCTGTTTCTACTATTATTATTAAGCATCATACAATAGTTAATTGCACATATAATTTTAACTATAATTTAAACATATATGTGCACACATATATATACACAAGTATAAAATTCTCAAAAAATTGGCGCCCGTTAATCTTGTTGCATTACTGCCACGAAAGGCCAGAAAGCATTTTCAGGCCGTATCTCGGCCGTAAAGCGATACACTAGAGGAATAAGGATAGCGTGATCGTTGATTCTTTTCTATCTATCCTCTCCACGGTGCGCCTACCATAGATGCAAGTTTTGCGTTTTGTACCCGCTGCCAGCGCTTGTAGAGGCGATACGTACACAAGCGTGAACCGTGTACGTATAATGCGCAGAACTCTTTGCTAACTCTCTCTATTACATGTATACGGTTCACGCTTGTGTACATATCCCCTCTACACGCGCTGCCAGCGAGCACAAAACGCAAAACTTGCATCACTAGCGTCCACGCGAGCAATTCAATTGCGTGTGTGCATATACAGACATATCCACCACGTAAAGACTGAGAATTTATTAGGTGTACAACTTTGCTTCCGCCGTTTTCCTATAGATGGCTTTAGCGGTAAGCTTTAGTGGTCGAAATAAATAGATCAATGACGTCATGCAATAAACTTGGGCATCTGTCAACATAACCCCATAGAAACATTAGTCGATTTGTGTCTGCATCATAAAGTTATTCTCGATTGAAAATGTCAGTTTACGAGCCAAATTCTCGTCATTTGCGGGAGGTTTTAATTTTCTGCTTCAATATGAAGAAATCTGCGGCTGAGGCTCATCGAATGCTCTCAAATACTTATGGTGAGGCCGCTATTAGTGAAAGAACGTGTCGTGAGTGGTTTCAACGCTTCAAGAACGGTGATTTTCACGTCGAAGTCCGGCATAGCGGTGGAAGAGAGGTTTTCGAAGATGCAGAATTGGAGGCATTACTTAATGAAGACTCCGAGTCAAAGTCAAGAAGAATTGGCACGATCTTGGGAGTGACTTAACAAGCAATTTCAAAACGTTTCAAAGACATGGGAATGATTCAGAAGCAAGGAAATTGGTTGCCGTACGAGCTGAAACCGAGAGATGTTGAACGGCGTTTGTTTGCTTGTGAACAGTTGCTTGAAAGGCAAAGACGGAAGGGATTTCTGCATCGCATTGTGACTGGGAACTAAAAATGGGTTCATTACGATAACCCCAAGCGCAGAAAAACATGGGGATATCCCGGCCATGCTTCCACGTCGACGGCCAAACCGAATATTCACGGCTCCAAAGTCATGCTCTGTATTTGGTGGGACCAGCTCGGCGTAGTGTATTATGAACTGTTAAAACCGACTGAAACAATCACAGGCGATCGTTATCGAACGCAATTAATGCGTTTGAGCCGAGCATTAAAAGACAAACGGCCGCAATACAACGAGAGACACGATAAAGTGATTTTGCAGCATGACAATGCTCGACCCCATGTTGCAAAAGTGGTCAAGACATACTTGGAAACGTTGAAATGGGAAGT